GAATCAGTGGCTCAAAGTACTATAAACAGTTTTTAAAATTGCCTTTCTGTGAGAATGTTGTGCTTAAAAGTTCGATACTTTCAGTGTTATCCTGCACAAATAAAACTTACCAATTTTCTCATTTGAGGTCTATGGGCAAAAACGGAACATACCACAAGAATCAGCTCGTCAAGCTCTACAAACTGGTATATATCCCATTTAAAACTGAGACTCACACTTGGAAATGTTCCCTCGTCAGTCCACAACAGAATTTGGTAATTGATGGGAGCCTTTTGTTACGGAAGGGTAGGCCAAGTTTCAAACAATATATCCCTTCAAAACGGAACAGATTTGGTGCCAAAGTATATGTTTTGTGTGATTGTCGTATAAAAGAGCTCGCTGAATTTGTCAATCAATTATATGTCTACCATCATTGTTTTCACTAACAGAAATCTATTAAGTACTGGTCGGAGAAATTTTTCATTGAAAAACAGTGTGCGTGTCTGTCTATATTCGTTAGTAACGACAAGTCTTATTCGCAATGAAATGAATAAACAAGAGAGAGAGAAAGAGAAAAAAGAACCGATGTTGATCTCGTAACTACATCGGTCGGTTGTTGTTTATCTCAATTAATCGATCGGCAAATCCTTTCAGCATGCTGAACAATAATGATGGTAACTTGTGTTTTAAAATGAAAGAAGGAAATATCGTTGTAATTCGACGCTATTCAAAGAAGACGACGTACACTGAGAAAAACATAGATTGTCTATAGACTTGCACCTACGTCAGAATAGCTTTTATTACCTCTACTCATAGACGATATTTCGATGCAGTACTTGACCGATCGTCCGCTCGCGAAATATACCGAAATTAGACCAAATGGTGAAATACTCTTCGAATCGCCGACTGTTCCATCCTTTATCAGCAGTCTGTTTTTCAAGTCGCGCAATCCAATGAGAAGGACACGATTGATCAGTGACGAATATCGAACTTTCGGCATTCCATTTCGATTCGAGAATCCAGGTAAGGATCAAAAGTCCGATTTCAGCAATAGCACATGGTTTTTTTCCAGATGAATGGCAGGGCTATAGTAAATTTTCACCGCATCCATTTTATCGTACCTCGAATCAAGAGTATGGTAGGTACAAACCTATGATACACACCATGCCGACTGTTTTTCGACCACAATGTCACGCTTTCACTGATGTAAGCAGCGTCAAAACCATCGCCCCTCTGTATTTATCATTAGTTGATTTTTTTAAGATACTGAGAATTGGAAGGGATCATCATCATCGAACTTTCAACACGAGTACCACAAATTTGCCACCGATATGGTCATCTTCTGGAACATTGCCAATGTCCATCGGTCGAGAAAACTACTTCAGACGTCCTCAACACCGATCTAACAAATAACAGAAAGAACCTCCACAGGTTTTCCTATACATATTTTTATTGAAAAAATGCTTCGAAAAAGATATCAACGTTTGTATGAATGATAATATACGACATTCAAAGCAATATTTGCTATTAATCCAAAATGCTGAGAGCAGTAGCGAGAGGAATGTATCTGGATCGAAACAGTAAATCAAAGTGATTGATTTACTGTTTTTGTAACTCTTAGGATCCTTTATCAATTCAATGTTTTTTCGTCTTTTCCGTTCTTATCATCATCGATGTTGTGGGTGAAAACAGATATTTGGATGATACTTGTCTATGGAAATCAATGCTTGAAATTAATTTTGCTGTTTTCTGCTACCTCCAAATCGAAATCATGTCCTTCTTTGTTATCTGTCTCTTGCCAAGTCAATGCTGAAATTTAAGCTGTTGGTTGTATGAGCTTTATGTTAGTTATTCTCTATGTGTCTTTTATGTGTTGTCATTCTTGACATGGTCTTAACTGTGGCTTTTGGTCATCACTCATGTGCTTGTCTGCAGCACTCCTTTTCAGCATCCTTTTCGTGAAGAAATTTCTAAAATGAGGATTTGTGCATGATTGGAATGAACTATGAATGAAATCGATGAATATAACATCTATCTTTGCTGAACAGAGTCGTGTGTACTAATATCAGCGACAGAAACCGAATGAAAGACGAGCCAGATGTTCTTTTCAAGCTAAATTTCCTCGTCCGAATTACTTTTGTCGATTATGATTTGAAGTTTTGCCCGTGGAAAGTGCAACTGATCGTCACTGATGAAGGTATAAAGAGCATTTAACAATATCTAGGATATGTCAAGCATGAGATAGACAATTATACACTACGTGCCTATTTTTGTTGGTTTCTTCTCTGTGAGTTAGATCAAGTTGTTGAAGCTGAAATGTATTTTAAGATGTTACTCGCAACTCATTTTCATCTAATTGTTCCTGTTGTATTTTTGCACAATGAGATAGGATGTGTATTCTCCGAAAGAAATGAGTGGAATTCGTCGTTAGCCTACTCTGACATCTCCTATAATATTTGTCGTCGAGAGTTATCATCAGCCAAGGGTATGAATGTGGATGTGACTCTGATGTGAAATTGTTGAGATACTTGTTGATGTTTGTATCATTGTGTGGCTCTTGGTGAGAGTTTGATAATGTGATTGTGAGTGTGAGTGTTGATGGAGAGATAACCTACATCCACAGTCAGGCCTTAATAATACTTCATAATGCATCGAAAACTAATTCATTAATGAATAATGAAATATTGTTCAATAGTAATCCCATTGCATGTATGTTATTACTAGAATTGCCTGCACGAGTATTTATCGAGAATTTTGATGTCTCTAACTCAAGCGTTTACTCGGCTTCATTACTATCATTGACACTTCTATTTCTCCTACGACACTGATACATAAATAAATGGTAGCTGTAGCGATGATGTAAAGAAAAAATACGTACTTGCATTCTAGCTCTTTTATGACTTTAGATATTAAAAATAATTTGCTTTTATAATAATCGTATTTTTGTACTTGTTTTGATGTATGTTTCCATTCATTCAAGACACTAACTTGAATGATGTAATATAAAGAAGACGCTGGCAAATGATTTGAAAAATCCAATAGAACCTTTCGTACAAATCATGTTGAGAGTTTTTATTCAAGAAATCAATAATAATGAATGATATGTTAATAAATTTATTAGAATCAGATGTACATTCTCAAGATGTAAGTGAAGACATAGATAATCGATCATGTGAATAACGATTATTGAATTTTAGAATCCGAGAATTATCCCTCAAGAATACTCTACAATGATTCAGACAAGAAGTCACTGTTATTATGAACAATTGATACAAGATTTTAATTACAGATATCACTCGAATATGTGTAAAGAAAGTGATTAAATAGAATGGTTGCCATAAACTTTAACACTATGAATATGATAAGCATGATGGATGAATAATTATTCGTATTACAACAATGATTAGGTCTATAAATCAAAATAATCTTGGTCCGCAGAAGTAAACCAAACATGTGAATCAAAGTCAATAGAATCACTTTAATAAAAAAAAGAATTGTCCGCAAAAATCATCTGTTGAAGACCCCTGCACACATTTTTCGAAAACATTCTTTTGTTAGAAAATACATTCTGCCGTAGCTCATACAACGTGATTTCAAGCACTGATCGTAAATATTATCTTGTTTTTGCTCTGAGATGCCATTTTAAGAACGACGAACTCAGCTCAGGCTGACTGGTGTCATTCGGTGCTACAATCAATGATAGATCATGTATCAAGGAATATTCACTGACAATTTGAGCTAAATTGGACTTCAGCTGTTTGTAGCATTTACAGAATAGAGAAAGGCAATTTTGGGGACAATTTTGAGCATAAGACATAAACCATTTTTACAGTAAAAAATGAATGCTACATTTGTTTTGGACAGAACTTCACCGGTTGATTTTGAGTATCATCTTGGTCTTGCACCAAAATGGTTCGTTGTGTGTAAAAATTGCGATTTAGGCGCAAAAACCTCAATGTCTGGGAGACTCATAGCGCGGAGTATGCTCATCAGTGCATCATAGCGCTACGGTTAACGATGAATCGCAGGTACAGGAACAATTGGTGAAAATTTTCGACTAGTCGAACGTAAACTGTTTTGAGCATTTGCAAAATACGAAAAGGCTAATTTGCGAAACTTTGTCGAGTAAAGGAAGCGACTTGTTTTTTCAAAAAACTCTTACTATTATACATGATCCGATGTAGCTCGGCGAGTTCGTTTCGAATATCACCTTGTTTTTGCTCAAAAATGTCTCTGTCTTTGCAAAACTAAGAGTCTCGAGACAAAATCCTGGTTCTTTGGGAAATCACCAGCACTGTTTCTGTTCATTGGTACAACTCCACTCATTGACCAACGATAAACCACATATAAGAGAATAATTACTGAAAATTTGAGGTAAACTGGACTTAAATTGCTTTGAACGTTTACAAAATATGGTATGACTGATGATTCAACTTACTATCAGTCCAGTAATCACTTTTTTTTCTATTCCATTTCTGACTCTATTGCAGTAAATTTATCACACAATGAAGTTTATGGGGCAATTATTCGTTTCAGACAGTATTTCATTCTAAAATTATTCGATGACTTGGTAATAGAAATGATTCCCGTACAATTACCAATTTATGAAAAATTTTTTTCGATGAACTTTTCCAACATTTTAGTTGATTTCTGGAGATCTTATTTTAGGACAAGATAGACCAATCATAGTTGTATTCATTCCAATATTCGAATTTTCGCAAAATGAACTTTCGCTCACGTTCACCCGTTTATTCACTATGTCAACTGCAAGTTTTGTCTTATTTTGTTTGAATGTGAGTTTAATCTTTATTTCAATAATGAAGGAATTAAAGAATCACGAAGAAGAAAATACGATGATAATCAGATCACGCAAAAAGAACAATATATGCATATGTATAATGATAACAGTATCACGTATCACAAAATATGCCATCGAAATATTATTATGCAATAGAAAAGCACTCTCGTTTAAAATAAAAACAGATTTTTATGAAACAAGAAGATTTTATCAAACTTTGCAACTAAATTACAAGAAGACCATTGGATAAATGACGATCTTTTGAAAACTATGATTTACAAAATTAACAAAATAAAATATATTAAAGGTTTAACTTGAAACAATACAGAACTAATTCATAAATAGATAAACCATTGAAGAGACTTTGACTTCTTACTAAACCATTTGGTGTCAACGGTTTAATATTTTGGTATCTTTTAATCTATTTAATAAAGACTTCTCATAGTCATAAACACATTATCAACAGCTCATCGTTTTTTTTTACAAAGAATATTGAATTTAATCCTAAAAGAAAATTTCAAAAGTGTCTATTTGTCGCTTTGACAATGAAAGAATCCACTCATATAACATATACATAGCAAAACACTGTATCACTCATTCAGAAAGAAATTTCTATCAACGCATTAATTCCTAATATTACACATGTTACAAATCAAAGTTATCAAAGTATCTAAACTGCCATTGTCGGCCAAAATAAATTGTTTTGACAAGTCGATATCGAGAATATGTTTTGTCTATTATCATCTTTACATTGACTTTTTTCGTTGACCAAAATTCACCTGTATAAAATGCTTCTACAATATCATCATCAATTCCATCACCAAAATCAATAGTTAATTGTCTCAAATCTGGTAAATAATTTTCAATCAGCTTCTGCCATTGAACACCATTGATAATTGCAGATCGTCGACCGCTTCCCTGATCTATATAGAGTCGACGTAAACAAGGAAAAACAGAAAGTATATTGTGCAGACCAACGAAGTTACCAGAGTAATTCATATGCAGTTCATCAACACGTTTCAAAACAAAATCCGATGGTAGATTCAAAAAGTGGTAATATCCAATAAATTTTAGTGATTTGAGATTTGGTATATTACTTTGAAGAAGTTGAAGAAAATTTGTTGACCAATAACAGTTACTAATCGATAGATGATGCAGCTGTAAAAATCGAACTGAACCAGCAGAGGAAACCTTCATATAGCGGGTACATGATAATGAAAGATTAACAAGTGAGGTAAAACGATGAGCATTATCGATTAATATAAGATCAAAGAGAGAATGATCACTTCGCTTTGTAAAACGCGAATGTTCTCTAATAGATAAACATTTAATTTTATTACCACTTGAAAAATGTTGAAATATTGTGTTAATTACCGGTCGATACACTTTACATAAACAAAGAGACCGTAAATTTTCTTTAGCAGCAGATAAAAAATGATTATCAATGTTAATATCCTTATAACAAGACAATATACGAATTTGTGATGGATTGACAGAGGATATAAGTGTATCCCAACCTGGTTTGTTTTCATTTGATGAATCATAAAAAATGTGTAAATGAGCTGATTGAAGAACACCATCAATACGATAGTTTAATCCATAAAAAGCTTGATACAAGTTGTATGCATCAAGATATTCAAAAATATCAAGTAATAATTCGTTGCTAAACGATTCTAATCGATTGAAAATAGCGGGGCACATGGCAATCAATAGTATGTTACACTACTCCCTGTTTCTTCGAACTATTTATATAAAATAATTGTCTAAAGTTGCATCAGCAACGTGCAATTCTCACAACAGAACAGAAAAGACACGACTTATTGACTCACATGTTTCATTTTGATGCAACATTTTGGTCGTCAAAAGTGAACCAAACTCAAGTCCACAATCCATATTTCACCCAAGTTGGTTATTAATGTGAGACAGCTCTCAAAAGATGTCGTATGCGATCGTGTCGATTTTAGTACAAGTCAATCATTGTTTTCTTCGACTCCGTTAATTTTTCATCATCTTTTGATTAGTAAAAGTTCGACTGACATTAATTTCACATTGGTGTGGACGTGGGTGAGTTTTGGGAAGAGAGAGTCGTTGAATTAAGATAAGGCCTATCTCCTCATCCTTACCTCAATACTCTGAATTCTGGAAACATGTGGATGTAAAGTCGGGTATCCATCTCGTTACATCAAATCCACTCAAAATCGTTGATTTAGCGTCATATAAGTACCATGAATTCATTAGATAAATATCCTAATAAATATGTTAGAATCTCGATACCCAAGTTACGAATATTTAAGGGTATATCTGAACTGCATTTCGAGCAATCTAGATTCATGAGATATGAATTTCTTCTCTAGGGATACATTCAATTCAAAAACCGAACGTGTAAAAACGCGTTAAACTGCTTGCACGAAACTGAAATCGTAAAAGTGCAGTTTTTTACGCAGTATAATGTGTTAGAAATCTGCGACGAATATGTATATTTGTTGAAGCTTTTAATGTCTTTTGAAAGCATAAGAATGTGCGATTTTTAAGATTTTATTTTCGTTCCAATTTCGATGTATTTCTAAGATTTTTTTTAATTGTTTTTCTAACTAAGTATCTTCAACTACGCCGAAATCTATGTCCATACCCATATATGTATGATTGTCAGAATACATTCTCGCGCTTGAGTAACAACGCTGCGTATGCATGGGATCTTGCAACTATTGACATTTACTCCCTTCTGTCAATTTACGCACATTCGCTAATAATGGTTGTGTAAACTTTAGTTCGTTAATTAAATATGAATCATTGTAAGAGTAACCATATGCCATATTAATTTAGTTCCATTCTTCTGACGAGAAAATAAATCTGATTAAATTGAAACATGATATATAATTTCTATTTAAATGGAACCACTAACAAATTTATCAGAAGAAGACTTTATTGCTTGAGTGAAACATTTTGTTAAAGTTCGAATTCTGTCTCCTATCTTACAACTCGCGAAGGAAATCTCTCAACTAATGAACCACTTTTGAGTCGAGACTATCAGCATCATATAGATTCGAATGAGTTTTAAATGCCCTCAAAAGATTTCTAGTCGTAAGCTTATTACTGTGAAGATACTGCATTCTTACGGTATTTTTTAGCAGAATGGAATAGTCTCACTCATGAATACAAAGAAAGCTGCTTTTCGAATTTTGAATTGAAATTATGCATGCAAACAAGCCTGAATGAGAATAATTTATTGAGAAAATTTCAGACCTTTTAGTTTGCTCTTATTCTGAAATGAGAACATCAAATGCATCAGTCCACTTGAGCGGTGTAAAAGACACTCTTTCATCATTGTCATATCTTAAGATGATAGGAAGAAATCAAAAAGCTTGAAACTTTCACAATAAACTGTTCTTGATGAACGCAATCTCTATGGAAAGTTTCAAGTCAAAATGCGAAAATCATTTCTTCTGATGTTCAAGAGCGGCACAATCGAGCATTGAGTGGAAAAATACAGTATCACTGCACTAATAAGCTAAGCACCCGAACTTTGTTCAGGGTATCCATAGTCCATCAGATTCCACATGATATATAGAGCTCCAATCCAAAAGCTATTAATCAGTTACGAACTTTCCTTATAAGAATTGATACATAGGATATACTAGGATGTTTATTTTAAGATATACCAACTGTTAAACAAAACTTACATGAACTTATTAGATTAATTAAGCCAACATTAGTATTGATGTATGAGAACAGCTCTGTTGCCGTTGATGCGCATAAATGTTTTCTATCAATTAAAGTTGCTCTCGAGAATCTTAAATATCCTCACATATTTCTCATAAGACAAAACAAGATATAATCATATTATTTCAAGATACTATTATCAATTCATTCGAAGATGATTTTTTTATTTTAGAAAAATTTAATAAAATTCTTCGAAAAGAACGAAAAAAAAATCTTTCAAATTACTAATGAATATTCGTACAATGATCAATAATATACATCGAAACAATACAATTGACAACTTATATGACAATTTTTATATTTGTAACATACACCAAAATCTTTTAGTTCATTGATTAAATCAGCTATAGCAACATCATTCAATTTATTGTTAAAACTGTTCTTGAATAATCTTACAACATAACTAATTTAATTTTGAATTTAATAAAAAATTTTCTTTTACACATAAGCATGCAGAGCAAAAATTTGTTGAAAGATTTCAATAAAAAATAAAACATGACAAATAAAAACCTAAACCACCAAAGAATTTATTCAAATCGGTGTTCAACAAGACATTATCAAAATCATTATTAATGAAATTATTAATTAAGCAAAGAAAACTTTTCGATGAACAATAAGACATGAACTAAATATTAATCATGATAGAATAACATTAAGTTTTACATGGCTAATATATTTCATCAACAGAATCTGAAACAACGAACGTGGTTAGAATATATTCTATTTCATCTTTTTATTATATTAATCATCATTTGTCGACTAGTTAGACGTAGATGAATGGAATTATACATTGAATAATGGAAAAGAATAAAATCTATTTAATGATGTTTCAAATTTTTATAATGTTAAAAAAAACCGAAAATATTCTGTATTAGATTATGAATGTTTATAATAACTCAAAGCTTAATTATCACCCCAAATTAGCTATTCGACACATTGTTCTACTTTTTAATATTGATTCAGTAATTTTCCGAAAGAAGAATAGCTTATGGATATTTTTACTATGATATAAATAATCATTAAATCAATATTTACGAATAAATATTCAAGCAATAAAAGTTAGTTAAATCATTAAAATTACTTTAGATTTTCCTAATATCTTTAGAATATTTTATTAGTTCACAATGATTCATGTTATTTAGCAGATTTTGATAAACATAAACAAACAATAATAAATAATACAATTATTTGACATTATTCATATTACTTCTAGAGTATTTGTCATTTCAAATTATCTTTTCAGCCTGATAGAACTCAACGTTAAAGTATAATATTAGAACAATCATTGATGAAGAGAGTAGTATTCGTTTTGGAACAACTGATAAAATTTTCTGATACCGGTTAATATTTCAAAGACGCAAGTAGTACAATTTCACAACATAATTTCCTTACTATACCCTCGATTATACTACGAATCGAAAAATATAGATTTCATTAAACAATTTAAATATTTAGAAGTAGATATTATCGTTAAACTAGCTTGAGACGGTTATATTCATGAAAGACTAAAAACTCATTAGAAAAATATTTCTATCGTATGCTCTTTCACATTATCTATGATTATTCTGTATATAATTCTTTTGCAAAAAAACAAAGAGAACATATGTTCTGTTCTGGTTCTTGTATTATATATATCTTCTTTCAACGATATGATGTTACAATTGTAGAGACTTTCTAGAGAGAAAAAGTCTCGACGTAACTATCTATTTATTTATTGACGTCGTTTTGTTCTACATCTGCTTACATCCGCTGATGTTCTTGCATTCTAATAGACCTGGAATGCGTACTTAATGATTACCTCTTCGGATAACGACAGCTTCAGATCTATGAACTTCCGTAGAAATAGTGTCTTCCTGTGTAGACTAATAAAATAAGCTAAATATTATGTGATGGATTGATGAAGTTTGATAATGTACAATATCAGATCGTACGAATATTTTAGAAAATCAACAGAAATGTTAAATATATTGATATATAAATGTGTTCTTTTACCTATCTAAAAGAAAATAATTATATTATATAACAATTTAGTACAAGATTTCTTCATGATTTTTCCATTTATATTAGTAATAAAAGAATAAATATGTTTGTAACTGACTACTTTTGCTGTATTCTTTTTCTATGTACTGGAAGTATATGTCATTAATCCTGTTATAATATTCCTCTTTTCATTATTTTCTGCATCTTTTTCATCATCATTTATCGCTTTTCTCTTCTCTTCTCTCGTGTGAACCAATATATTCATAGCACAATAAATGAACATATAAATTAAAAGTAGAATAACTGTTGATATTTTATTATTTGAATTCTTATCAAAATCATAATATTATTGTCCACATAACAATGGAACTGATTTCAATATTAACAAACTATTCAAGAAAGTTTTAGTATGTGACATTAATAATAATGATAATCAATTGTTGATTAAATTATGTTTTTTTCAGAAGTGCATCAACAGTATGTGAAGTTATTCAAAATCTGGAATAAATGCGAAGAAAAAAAAAGAATCGAATGTTGTGTTTTATCCGATATCGATGACAAGACAATGATCATAATGAAATTGTTTTTATTCAAATATTTAATACTTATGTTGTTTTTTTTTTCAATAAATTTAATCAAAAGAAATATTTTTTCTTTCGTTCATTAAAATAAATAAAAAACAATGTTTAAGATAAGAATATAAAATTTCAAGTTCCAATCACATTGAACTTAATTTAATGATAAACAGTAAATCAGAATCATCTTTCAGAACAACATTATTTGGTTTCATAATCTAATCAACAGAAATACAATGAGTACCATTAAGTTAACAGTCTACAAATTGAATCAAAAAGTTACACAACCAGAAAATGGTTAATAGGAAATGAACGATGTTTAGTTATGCTTATCTGTCCACAGTTAATGATCAATAATATATATGAAAGATTGAAAGATTTTTGTTGTGTATTAGTTAAACAAAACAAATCTATATAGTGAAACTT